TGTGTGTGTGTGTGTGTGTGTGTGTGTGTGTGTGTGTGTGCTCGATATTTCTTTAGTGAAAGGAGAGGTCGTGCGATATTTTTTTCGTAGGTGAAGTGCTTGCTCGATATATTTTTTTGGATTTACGTAAACACCTCTTCAATTATCTAAAGGTCCGTCCCTAAGTCCTGCAGCTAGAAACAAAAAACAAAAAAAACAAAAAAAAACTAACAAAAAAGTAAAGGCAATTAAACTCTTTTTGAATGTTATCACATCTTTCAAAACCGTTGCGGCACTAGTGTAAAGTTTGATATAAAGATCTCTTCAAATCTCTCTTTAAGTAGTGGGACTAGCATAAAGGTTCACGACTTTATTTAAGTATCCTTTTTCCGTTACGTAACAAGTTCACAGTAGGATCAGTGTTTTTAGCATCAATAGAAGACGTTTTCTCTCGTTGTCTGGATCGCAATAGCAGTTGAAATTGTTCTTTTAGATGATGGTTAATCATCAGGGTACACTTTCTATACAATGTCAAACAGTTAAGTGCATGCGCTTGCTTAAAAGCCATGTTTTAGGGGGAAAATGTCACTTTTACATCATTGAGACTAGAATATTGCACTGACTAAGCCGGTCAGACGCTTAGGAAAAATAATCAAACCTAGATGACTTCGTGGTGTTGATATCCATCTGTACAGGTTAAAGCTCTTGTCCATGAGAAAAGTCAAATGGATTAGGTTCAACTTAACCACTTGATTAGGGAGCTCAACGCAACACGTATACCAATGCAATGCCAGCCATATTTTGGGGTTCGACCCAATGACCCTGATGTAGTCGACTATTACTATATACATGCTAATATACTAGGCTCGTAGTCTAGGCTGCATGGAAGCCTAATTAGGCCCCAGGGAAGGGAGGGGGGAGGGGGAGGGAGGGGAGGGGCTGGGTTATGGAGGTCAGCTTGCTGCAAGACATGTTCTAATTACTTCTAATGTTTCATCTCTTGTCATTCAGACTGGACTACAGAAGACATCCATCACTTCACATTTGTTCCTAATCTTGCCGAGTTCGAAGCCATGATGACAAAAGAACAGACACTTTCAGAGCTTTTCTCTGAACTTGACACAGACAAGGATGGCTTGATCACCGCTAAAGAGCTGAAGGAGTTCTGCGAAGACATAGGTCAAGACACCACAGATGAGAATGCTAATAAAGATATAGCACTGGTAGATAGTGACAAGGATGGTAAAATTAACAGAGACGAATGGATAGAGCTGATGTTTCCGAAATTCAATATACAATGATCAAATGGCCATAGTTAGTCTTTAGTTAGGAACTGAGTTAAATAATGTGTTTACAAGCGGTAACACACTAATTCAACCCTTCTAAGCACTCAGAAAAACGCGCTAAATTTGGATAAGTAGAAAGCGGTATCATAGTTCAAAGTTCGAGTGTTTGCACTCTTAGCCGCTCAGCCGAGTCATGAAACGGAGAATATGGCGTGATGTTGCCATTATTTGACATGTTTATGCTAAAAGTAATTATTTTCTTTTCCATCTCAAAATGAAAATTTATAATTTCATGACGAACGTAACGTTTGGCTTGGTTTGGTCTGCGCAGAGCCAAGTGTCATTCCCTAGAGTATTATTTCTTTGTTTAACGGTTGCGCATGAGAAAACACATGAATATGGATTCTACTCAAACAAAGAATCTTATTTTCAAGAGAATGACACGTGAACTGAAATGAGAACAGTACGCCCAAAATAAGGGTCTATTTTTGAAGTCGATGATTTCATCTTTCTAGGGTTTGTTTGCTAGCAATTTGATACCTAACGTTGCTTTTTTCTTTTAGAGAAGTCAGAACTGGTTGTGAATAATATTGTAATAAGCAAACATAAGCAAACAGCGTGATATATCAGTATGGTATTACTTAACAGACATGTCAATTGCTTGAGTGTGTGACCGTTATAAAACCATGACTTGCATAGCTAGTAGTTAAGATCACTAAATGGATACTGACCTTCAAAAAATCACCGATAAGGAGAAGAAAACAAAAACAAAGCAAATAAACAACAACAAACAAACAAAATACAAACCGAAACAAAAACAAACTAAAAAAACCACAATAGAAAGGGAGAGAATTGTCAAGGTAAGATTTTATAACCGGGCACCATTAGGTAGCTGCATAATTGTTTTTTAAGGTGTCCAAAGGAARATAGACGAGACAAAATGAAAATATGTTGTTCAAAACAATGATATTAAACAGAATAAAAATTGCTCGTAAACCATCTGATAAGTTTTGTTTTTTAATTTACATCCGTGGCTCGTAGGACCTTATGCCGATAAAGATATTTCAACTTTGCCATGCAAATTAAACTCTATATTTTCATGATTGATGATTACATCTAGGCCTTCAAGTCCGCAAAATCAGTGCAGGGCAAAAACTGTCCAGAATTGTTAGATAAGGCTAAGGCTCGTAATTTACCTATTACGCATGTTCTTATTTGATATCCGAGCCCATCCCACACGGCTTACTGCCTCAACTATCCASAATTACTAGATAGAAGTATTGACGTATGCTTTATGCCATTCTCGTACCCATACCCTTCTTACCAAGATTTTTCTTTAAAAAGTTGAGAAGGCTTTGGGTACGAGAATAGCTTCATGCAACAAAGAAAATTTATCATTCAGAATTAACTCAAGTAAGTTGATCAAGATCCTTACCCTGGCTGCCAGAGGTCCTCTTGCTCTCTACCCGGTACCTTTTGTTATATGAAAGCACTTTTAACTGTGAATTACCTTAAGACCTTGAGGCGTTCATAAAAACATGCATGCTGACAGACACAACCTCTACACTGTGGAATTAAGTTAGGATCGGGGAGGGGTGCTAATGGGTTTGGCTGACCAACTACTAGGATAAATTTTCTTACGGCTTTTCGCATTGCTATGCATAATAAACTAAGAGCTAACTCATCCATGAGAAAATGAAAAATTATTAGCGGCTTCAGTAGCCTTAGGTTAAGTTGACGCATTGGTCACGTGTTGCAGAACGACTCAGCATCATTAAGGCATGGCTCTCAGATGAAGAAAAATCAGCTTGGTCGATATGAAATATAAAAGAGCGCTGAGTCGCCCAGTTTTGGCTTATGAGAAAGCATTAGACAAAAGTTCTACTTTTCCTGCCAGTACCGACCGTCTTTCGGAAAGGTGAAACTCAAGAGCTGGGCTGAACTGACTAAAAGTCACAGTAGTTCACTATGACATCACACTCATTAGCATACTGGAAGTATAAACCTTGATATCTTCAAGATGCATCACTCAAATCATATAAAAATATTTTACTATTTAACTTTTAACTTCATGTAACAATGCTGAACACATTGAGTTACGGGGTCATAGTCGGGGTCATAGGCACTTGAAGGTCTCTTGGTTTAGAATTTAGTTGAGCGCGGGTTCCCTGTTTATATGAGAAAGAGCGAGTCCTGAGGTGTAGTTCCAGTCCCACTCTGTTATCAGATATTCAAGATGGCGGATGTCATGGAGGACGAAGCGGAATCATCAAATTATTTGTTTTTACTCAGTATTTGTGGTATCTTGGGTTAAAGCATCATTATGGTGGAAAAGTCTGATGTCGTCGAGGAATGTTCCTCGTGTGTACGTCTCAAGCAGGTAATCGATTAATAACTTTTCATCTTTTTCTAGTTGTTTCTCACCTTGAATACGCACGCGCTGTTATAAAACGCAGTTTTTGCATTGACTAAATATCTTATGCCAAATCTTTCAAAAAATTATGTTTTTTGTATTCTTAATGTTTTTAAGCATAATAACATATAAAAAAGYTGTACAAATTGTCTTTTAATGCAAGATAACATAAAAACATGAACAAAGAAACGTAATACTGACGTTTGTGGGGGGAAAACACTTTAACCTGCAACCTATAAAGTGTTAGAAGTTTGTGGAGTGATTATGATGAATTAACCTTTGAAAGAAAAATCCATGATCATAAACCAATGGTATTTTATAATTTTGTGGTATACATACATGTATTAAAAGGAAACCATTAGAAGTTATTGATTTTTTTTAATGTGCTACACGCACTTCAAATTTTGCATAGACTTAAAAATATTTTGCCATAAAAATATACATATCCTGAAAGTTAGATATATAATCACTTTTCGAATATAAACTTAGRATTGTCTGTTTTTGAACACGAAAAAAGTTTTTAGGTTAAAAGTAGCATTTTACCTCATTTCATTTGATAATTTCCCACAGGATCAGCGTTTCTGTCATTTCAATACATTAGTACACTTTGTCTGTTAAATTTTTGATATCTTTCAAAGATCAGGCACATGAGTTTTCAGATGTTTGAGTCTTCAATGGTTGTGATTAGGAAATAGTTTTTGAATATTCTGAGACAATGTTTTAGATGGCATGGGAATTTGTTATTCTTCAAAGTTTCAATTTGATCCAATGTAATCCTAAAGAGCTACACTGTAGAAGGTTAAAAGAAGCTATTTTGGACACTCAAAAACTTTAGAGAAAGCCAACAGAAAAAGTAAATTGATTTTCAAAAACTACAGTACATTTATTTAGCTTTCAGAAAATGTCTGCTTTTAGATAATAATATTGAAAAGGCAGTGAGGAATTCAGCTCCCATGTAAACTGATTTTGAAGGTATCTTGAACTTAAAATTTGACTGAATAGTGAGAAGACATATGCTCAGTAGTCATGTGTATGAGCATAAATCTCTAACACAAAACATGATAGGAAACTGAGTACTCGTTAGTATGCTTCTTTGGCTCCTCTAAAAATTCATGTGATGTAACGAAGGCTCTTTTGGTGAAATAAAATCAACTTTGATTTTCCGCAACTGTCTTGGGTTTCTCAACTGTTATAGACATRCAGTACGCTCTTAAGAACTGTTAACTATGACAATACTCCCTTTTACAGTTCCGTTAAGTGACCACGAATAATAGTTCCAAGTTGAGGCTGGAGTTTCTGTGCATAGCTAAACTACAGTATGCTTTTTATCATGCAGCGAAACTCTAACTAACTATTATTCATGGTCATGGAATGGAACTTTAAAATGGATTATTACTCCATTTCACTATGACGCCACAACTTGTTTATAAGGAGGATAGAATGGGATTAAGAAAAATAAGAATTTGTCCTAATTTTACTCTGCTACAGTATGTATGGTTTTCAAACCTTTAATTTATCCTTACTAAATGTTGATATATGGTGTATGTTACTCATTTGGTTATGATCATTGTTGTCTAAGTTTTAAGAAATTCAATTTTTTCCCAGTTTTTTTTTTTGTGTTTTGTTGCTGTTTATTCCCCTCCGATGACCATGATTCTTAGTGTTAAAACAAAATATTGCTTTCATGTAATAAATAGGAAAATTGTTTTTCTGCTGTTTAGGAAATTGAAATAGCACAGAAGGATCAAGCTGCTACACTAAAAATGATCAAGGAAAAGATAATGTCAACAGAGTAAGTAACAGTAATATTATTGAATAGTCTACTCTTAGAATATTTTTCTTGTAATAAATTCAGTGTGTTATGTTGCAGTTGGCGATTTGCATTTTATAAATTTGTTTACTGTTACATTATACATTTTGGATATTAGTCTTTAATCAGTCTGAAGTGAGAGTAAACATGAAAATAAAATAAAAAATACAGATTACAGTTTCTATCGTAAAAAAAATTAATGAAAGAAATGAGTTCCATTCATTAATCTGGAGGTACAGTACCTTCAGAAAGCCCCATTCATTTTCACTATAGTTATTTTGGACTGGATCCAGCCTCAAATAAGAGAAAATGTATGGGGATATTTTTGYATTAAATTACCTATATCTCAGCCGTTTTCCAATCTATCGCTCAGAAATTTTGCACCATATCATATTTTTACATGCAGTTTCTGATAATGTTACCAAAATCCTATAATAATTATCTTCAAAAAAAATTTTGTGATGTCACCACTTTGGTAATCTATTGTCAAGAAGGCATACATTGTACATGTAATGTTACTAATTTGGTATTTCTTTCTTTCTTCACAGTAAATTGATCAAAAAATATCAAAAGAAATGTGATGATATCCTTTTTGCACAAAATTGTCAACATTATTTTTTAACAAAGATTATACTTACAGTATTCATTTATCTCATGATATTGGAAGTTGGGAGGACAGTGACCTTTTGACTGCAGGCTGCAATTCTTCATCAGGTGTTGGTGTAGACTGGAAGGTGGCCTTCTTAATGTATATACCRTATTTGAATATTGTTTATTATCTGAATTCGTTGTGCGTATTAATCACTATTTAAAGGGTAGTAAAGAATTATGTTTACCAATTATGTCATTGACGGAATTAGTTAATCAGTGTTTTATATTATATAATATGCTGTGTTTATTCATAAGTGCATCAACCTGTAATTCAGTTTTTTGTAATTCAAATTTACCTTAACATTAAATTACATTTTGACAAACAAGCAAAAGTGTTGAATGATCTGACTACTAAGCATAAAAATTGTGAAAGGTAAGAGGTTCATTCATTTAGTCATATTTTGCTTCTACTTTAATATCAAACCAGCTTTATTTAAACCTAATGTGGGGGAAATCTGTAAATCTGTAATGATTCTAGTTTATTTTCAACTTAAGGTGTACAAGGATAGGGGATTGCTATCACGATTACTCTTGTATATACTGTATATATATACTTTATATATATATATATCATATATATATATTGCAATATGCATTAGCTTTGACCCTTTAATGCATATATACAAGTACAGTATATCAAAGGAATATCAAAATGTATGATATTTTTTCAAGTTGTCTATAACTAGGGCTTTATGAAAAAAGTATCACTTAATTTTTGATATACTTGTGATGTATACATGCACAAAAGGGTTAAAGTTTACGCATATTGCAATATATATACACAGCCATTTGCAAAAATTATGGCCCTTTCAAATATACATACGAGTATATCAAAAGTATATCAGACACGGCTGGATATATTTCTYGATATTTTTTTCAGGAAGYCCTAATGATACGCAGCCAGAAAAAAAATATCAAGGATGATATCCCATAACTTTTGATATGCTTTTGATATACTTGCTATAGTAATGAGTTAGTATTGAAACACTACACATGTATGATTGTTGCCCAACAGAATATGACAGTCTGACAGTGACAGCTTGAAAGCGTGACAGTCTGACATTGTTACAGTCTGACAGTTTGACATCGTGAAAGTGTGAAAGTATGACAGTGTGAAAGTGCAATAGCACAACAGTGTGAAAATGAGACAATGCAACAATGCGGCAGTGTGGTAATGAAAATGATCAATGTACTGTAATATCTGGTTTTGGATCATTTATTTATTTATTTTTGTTGTGAATCCAAGAAACACAGAGATTTTACAAGAACAGCTAAAGCAATCCCTGGAAGTAACTGAGCCACAAAAAAAGGTGAGTAGTACTTTAAATTTGATAGACAGTATCTGAAGCCGTTTTGCATTTCTTTTTTTCACTATGTATTTTGGTTTCTGCTTGATTGCTGTGCAAGCTGACACAATAAAACCCCTCTTATTGCATGGCTAAAACCTTTGAATCCAAAAAATATGACATTGTTTCATTAGCTAAAGCCCCAAATAAAAAGTCCCTAATGCCTATACAAATTAAGGAATAGTCAATGTTTAGTGTGCATATATCCAGTTCTGGATGCATGCAGGATGCTGCTTAAGCATGTACAAAAGTATAAGAGCCGCTTGAGGCATAGCTAAGTGTGATTCTACATTCTTCAGTGCTTAACCATCTCCCAAGTGCATCCAAAACTGGATATGTAGCCAGCTATAAACATTGACTATTGCTTTTATGACATAGTGTTTCATGCAGATCAACTAATAGCTTTGACTCCTCAAATTATAAATGTGGGCAGAAAATGAGGTGGAATTTTTTTTTAAATTTTCAGATTAACTACAAAAAAATATTCAAAATGATTTCACAAATGCTTAATTGTGTTTTGAAAGACAGTGTTTATGTTCTGAATCAAGGACTTGTAATACATTATTTTTTTTGTTTTGTTTTGTGTTTGTTTGTTTGTTTGTTTTTCCTTTTCTTTATAATGATTTGTTGTGCTTGTTAATGTTCGTTCGATCATATTATTCAAACTTTTCTTCTAATTGATTCAAGCATAAAATTGTAAACTGCCTAGGTTATAGTGAGGTTTACAGTTGTGTGTAAGAAAAATTAAAATGAAGTTTACATCATGATGATGATGATGATGATGATGATGATGATGCTGTGTTGTGCACTTTAGACCATTAAGAGATTAATACAAGAAAAGTTCATAGCAGAGGAAACAATCCAGGAATTGAAACAGAAAAATATTGATCAAGAGGTAAGTAATGAACACATTTGAATGTACACCAAAAGTACTTTTTCATATGAAACTGAAATTTTTAAGTTAAGGAGGGCATTGCAATATCTATTAACTCCTTGAAATCCTTGAAAAGCCCTGGAATTCAAAACCCATTTTTAAGTGCCCTTGAAAAGCCCTTAACAAAGTTGCTGGATACTCCTGGGATATTCCTCAAAAATGCTACAGTTCCTGGTTTATCATAATCATCTGTAACCTGATTTTTGTTGATAATTCAATTGTTGCTTTGATTGTTACCAGTGCTTTGCTCCAAGAATGGAATGGCAAGGTTGTTAACTTCATGCTCGTTTGTCAATTTGTGTCGCTAGCAGAGATGAATATAATTATAACTTCTCTCTCCATTATTTTTTAAATTCACCTGTGTTAAAAATACTAAAACAATTATTCGCGTCAGGCTCAGTGAATATCGGGGAATATTTACCTCGCTGCTCAAAGACTTGGACTATGGCATCTTGGTAAATATTCCCTGATATAGACCCATTTACCTTTGTATGCAAATTGCCCATTTCAGATCACATGACATTCCCTCGAGAGTTGTTCTTTTATGACAAACATGTTAAAATATTTACACATGAAAGAATCAACTCCCAAAAGTGGCATCACGTGGTATGAAATGTGCACACCAAACAGCAAAGCTAAATAGACCGTCTATTCACTTGCCCTTTGGTGAATAATTGTTAAATATTTTTTCTATCACTCTTCTTTTAGGAAGTTATCAATCAGCTTAAACATGGTCTTCAGCTTAGAGATGAAAAAGATTCTTCATGGAAGCTTGAACAACAACTACAAGCTAAACAAATTGAAAAAGAAAAAAAGAGGTACATGTACTGTAGACTAATAAATTAAATGTTAAAATATGGATATTAACTCATCAAGCCAGTCACAATTAAAATATGTTTGCTATTTTTTTCAAGAGCAGAATGGAATCTGCTTTCTTAGCTTAAAAAATGTATAATAAAACAATTACTGAATTCAGTTTTCATGTGATATCATAAATTATTATGACCTTGGCCATTTTATAACACAAGCCTTGGTCTAGTTAATTTACGTTATCATGCTCAACCTCATCCAATAATTGTTTAGTATTCATATATTACATGACATGGCATTATTTTTTTTGCTGACAACTTTAATTTTCTAATTTCTTTATTTCTTTTGAAATATTCTAGGGTTGAAAAACTCATGAAGGACCTAGAGAAAGCAAAGGAAGAAATCAAAAGAGGAAGAGGTAAATCAATGTCTTCCTTATTTCTTTCTGTATTCTAACACTTATTGTAACGACTATTGTAACTAAATTTGTTTATATTTTATTGGGCTCAGGGTTGGTGAGGGAAAAGAGTCRTGAACTTCGTGCAGTTGGAAGAAAATGTGATAATTTTGAGTTTCAGCTGAACAAACTGAAGGTATGAAATTCATTACAAACTCTTGCCACCCAACACATTTTTTTCAATAGAAATTCTTCATAAAATATTTGATTCTATATAATACAATGTTATTTGTACTGTGTCACATATTGTTAGCTTAAACATCACCTTCTTACTAATGTCGAGGTAATCTTTTCATTTCTGGGGTCATTATGGCACATCTTAGTTAAAAGTGGTTTAATATGACCTCTTAGTGCAAGTCTACAACTAACTAATTGGATGAACAGTTTATTAGTAATAGATTGATTGATAATGTTGAAGTCCCCTTTAGTTCCAAACCTTGTGCATAGAAAACAAGGAGGGGCGTGATCAGGGACTTTACACCCCCCAGAATATCAAAACTACAGCATGGCATGTCACATGCAAAGCCAAATCCGGGCCGGGGGGG